CTTAACCACTGCGCCACAAGGCTCCTATACATATACTGGAAGAACTGTGCTGTAGAGGAAAAAGTGAATACAGTGGAGAAATGGGGATTACCCTGCACCTTTCACACGGAAGTCCCTCTAAAAGAAAAGCTTATTCAAGTTCAAGACTTATATGGATGGCCCCTTTGATGTATTTCCTCTTCCTTTGAGTCTGCCTTCATTCCTCCCTAGCAGAAAATAACATGATGCTACTCAGTTTTGTGTAGAGAGTCTTGGTGGTCAGAGGAAGGTAAAAAAGGGGGCCAGCAATGTCAAAGTTATTTAAGTTGGTGAACTGGAATGTTTTAGTCTTTTGTCATTAGTCTTTTGTCTTAAGGCTGACCCAGCCTTGAGAGGACCTGTGCTAAGCATGTGTGCCCGTGACCCTTAGACTGCTAAGATTTGGCCTCCAATGTCCAAAGATATAGAAATGGCCTGAAACCTTCAATAAGAAGGTGAGAACATGGGTGGCTGCCTTATGGTCAGTATGAACCCCTGGCCAAGTTCTTGGGGAAACCAGGTCCATGTTCCTGAAACAGCAGTCTGGTTTTGGACCCAAGTGGGTTTCAGTAGCAATATAGGCATCTTGCATAGTTTTAACATTCATGGGAAAATCTCTTTGAGCAGACTATAAATGTTGTTGGAGGTGGGGAAGAACAGGATCTAGAAATTGGAACCAGCAGAGAGTCCCTGTTGGCAAAGTGAATGGACAGCTTCCAAGAAGTGCCCACCAGTGTTTTCATTGCATACCAAGCCAACAGTCTTCCAGGCCAGCCTAGCTTCACTGCACACTTCAGAAGTGCTTTCTCAGCAAGACCCAGACCCAGGGCCCTTCATCTCCCAAGACTGCCATCGGCCATGACCTTCCTCATAAGGCCTCTGAGCACACTTCCTGGGGCATGCTGCAGAGATTTCCCTACCTTAGTTTCCCTTTTCCCAGGACTCTTCCTGGTGGCTTCAGTTGCCTCTTTTTTTTTTTGGCCTGTGATCACAATTATTTTTCACTAATATTTTGGGAAATGACTTTTTTATTTTGCACAAATAGATGCACATTTATGGAGGAAATTTAAGAAAGTTCATTTTTAACTCTAAAGGGAACTCTTTTCTTTAAAACTCCACTAATAAAGTTACTGATGCAGATGGGCCACATGGTTAATGGAAAACCTATGTGGAAAGAGCATGGTTACTCCTCCTGGACATTTTCCTCTTTTAACTACTATTAAACAAAAGAGCCTATGTACCTGTTTAAAAAGCAAAAAATAAATTTTATATATATA